ACCATACAAATAGCTCATTAACCAGGAGCCAGAAAAGAAGGGCCATGCTGGTTTCGCTGGGCAGCCTCATAAGGCTCAGTCCTGAGCAGATTTGGTTTGATTCTGGTTTCAGCACATCTAGCCTACACCGTGCTCCTGCTACGCTCCAGGGATGGGGCTTTCTCCTGAATGACTTTTCCCTTGTTCTAGGTTAACTTTCATGACTACTCAGTTATAAAAGCACACAGGTCTCTTAGCCAACTGTAAAACAAAATAATTGAAAGTGGTGGAGGGAAACAATGTATTTTAAAAAGTGACAGAATTTTACCGGCAGAAATGTCATGCTTGAAGAAGGTACACAAAACGGAACTTGAGAAGTATAAAAACAGAGGGGGAGGAGAAAGGAGTAGGTGTGTTCCTCAAGGAAAACGCAGTGTGGTTTTGACAGAAAGTGAAATGCGGCAGCAGTGGTTGGAATGCAGGCAAAGAGAGGCTGGCTGTTTTCTACCACTGCCCAAACCATATCAAATGGTCCCCTGCTCATTTCATGGCAAACTGTATTCAGTGGCATCACACTAAGCTAATGTGCTCACCTTTGGCAAGCTCTGTAGAGCTCCCTTTGCTTGGATAAATATTCAATAACTAAACTTTTCCCCAAAACTCTTTTAATCTGTAAACACGGAGCTAGCGCGACTCCGCACATAGAAATCTTTACTTTCCACTTTCCCAAAGTCATCTAAACATGGGGCTCCCATGGTGAACCTGCACTAAAATAGGACAATAAGCATGTGTATACTTGCATTTTAATACAGGATTCCATCCCTGGCAGCGTTCAAGGCCAGGCTGGACAGAGCCTTGCTTTAGTGCGAGGTACCCCTGCCCATGGCAGTGGGGTTGGAACTATTCTATGACTGACTATTCTATGATTCTACATCAGCTGTTCTCCTTATAAACCATACTCACCTAACTGATTTACAGACTGATTGCATCAGTGAGCAAAAGTTAAGATTTTAAGCACAAATACTTACTGTAGATGTTTACATTAAGCATCATGCACAGCAGAGTCCACTGAATGGGCATTACAGGCTTTTTTCCAAGGATCTGAGCTCCTGCTGCCCATGGACTTTTTACCTACAGCACTCAGAGCCCAGAAGTTCAGTTTATACCTTAAATATATATAAACCACAGATCCATTGCATCACAGAAAAGGAGATTCTGTTTTGTGCTCTAGTATAAAACACCCATTGCCATTTAAGTTGGATACGTTAGCTGCAGTGTTTGGAGGCACAGATGCAAGCACTTGTTATTCCCGTCCTATCTCCTGTCTCTACTCGCAACAAGGCTTTTGCTTTCTCATTTATTAGCACTTTTGATAATTCAGCACAGCTCTAAGTATGTGAAATCAGTCAAGCACATCTCAGGAATGGTGCAAGGAAATTCTGTTTCAGTAAAGTAACCTTGGCCCCTGGCAGGAATTAAATAACTCTTTGAATCAAAATAAATTACTTTGATTTAGAGACCAAGAATGTCATGAAATGGAATATGTTATGAAAGTCTATTACTTTTCATTGAATAAAATCTATTCCCTGAGGTTCATGGTCAACTTCTACTGTATACTCTTTAACCCAGAAACTAAGCAAGTAATGTTTTGGAAGATGAGCAAAATCTCAGAAGAAGATTTTCAGAGAAGGCCTTGTGCTCAAGCTTGGTTGTTTGGCTGACTGTTTGTGTTCAGCAACTACAGATAAATCACTATCCCTAGAAATCTCTGGAATAATGAATTACGCAGTTCTGACTCTGGTGTTTATATTTCCTATCTGTAAGAAAATTTGAAATTCATCAGTAGATAACCCTGGAGGTTTTTGGTTGTTTGTGTTTTTTTTTTGAGGAGCGTGGGAGTTTTATGATTGACTGTTTTGGGGGGTTCTGTTTGGTTTTTTTTTTTGTTGTTTTCAGGTTTAGGTTTGTGGGGGTTTATTTCATTTAGAAATAAACTCTTAAGTCCTACATAAAGGTTTCAATTGCTTAAAATTAACTGACTAATTTTAGTGAGAACTCCATTTCATTCAAATGTTATGATAAATATGACATTTACAGAAGTTTCCTGGCAAATAAAGGTCTTTTACCACATAAGGAAAAAGAAAAGCATACCTATACCATTGACCTTAGAAGACCAGCTAGCAAGCTTCAACATCCACGGGGTGTCCTACCCAAGGTCCCACATATGCTTGGTTGTATTACCAAAGACTGACTGGAAAGTGTATCTGGATGATATACTTTGCAAACATTTACCTTTGAAACACCAGCAACACACAATGTTGCTATCTAAAGGAAATATATGATAGATACTGTTTCATGGTAAAATGGAAACCAGGTAAGCACCTAAGTGAAAATCTCAAAGCAATTCTGATACGGCTTTGTCCTTACAACCAGAAAGTCTTATGTAGCTCAGCTTCATTAAATTCAGTCACCCAAACACAGTTGTCTGCTGTCTTTGAGATACCCTAGTGTAGCCTGCCTGGCATTGAGCTGCTGGTCCAGAAGGACATTATCTACGATAGATGCTACTAACCCTCTAAAAAGAACAAGCTTGATCAACAATAATTAAAACAAGAAACACTACTCGTCATACAGTTACTTCTTAAAAATTTCTTTCTGATGGTCATGCTTCTGTTTGTTATTCTTAGAACATTATTACCAAGTACTTCAGTGTTAGCCAAATCTAGTGTAATGCTCCCTAGCAGGGAAACCATGATGATCATTCAATCACTATTACTGTATTATTTTCTTATGAGTTTTCTCTAATCATGGGACTTACTCTTAAAATTCTTCTGTATTTGTATTATGCTATCAAATCATGGCACAGCCCTCCTATTTCTAGCACTGTGCATGCAGGCAGAGACAACAGGCTGACAGTCCCATCCCCCCCCCCCCCCCCATCTTGACCATTTATGAATAAGCCAAAAATCAATAGGCAGGTGAAATGAACAGCAATAGGCATGGCAAAGAAATCAGAAACAGGACACACAACAGTCTCAGTATTTTAAACAGCCTAATCACTTCCCTGCTTCTAGCAGTGCTGTAGAATGCTACTTTTAAACAGATGTTTGAAGAAGGTCAGGGAGCTGATGGATAGCATATTCATAAGGAAACCCCCAACTGCACAGAGGAAGCACAGAAGGTGCTTGTGAGAAAGGTAGCAGAAGGGTGGAAGAAGTCAGCAGCACCTGCAAAGTAGAGGTGGGTGTCAAAATCTCAAAAGCATGTAAGACCTAATAGGCAGACATAGAGTAGTGATATTATGAAGCATAAGAGGGGTGACGATGTCCATTAGAAACACACATGGGAAGGAAAGCATTAAAGGCTGAAAACAAATGTTTGCATCCAGTTTGGATCACCTTCTCACTTCCTTAACCCTTTAGTTTTAGCAATGGCTCAGAAAGGAGCACCATGTCTGTGGACCACATGCTGTGATCAGATACAAACATTCAATAATCCCAGAGTTCATGGTTTCCCATGCTGGAATCCACTCTCCCCTTTTTCCCCATCAAAATGTATCAGCAGCTATTTAAGCACACCATTACGTATGTTAAAACCTACTTTAACATACATAACAATCTCCCTCTTTTTATACTCCTTTCTTGCTGCCAAGAGAAGAGTGGAAAGATAGCGAGTGTGTCTCAACATGACAGCAAGAACAGTATGTACATGAACTTTTCTGACAGCAGGAAACAGAAGTGCTTCTCATTCCCAGGATGGTGGCCTGGAACATTTTGGTGGGTAGGGAGATGCTGTCTTGCAGGTACTTTTTTCCTCCATTAAACTGGAGAAATTTGTGCCAACCCCTAAAAAACTAATCCAATCTCAACTAAACCAGCCTCAGCTGAAAAAAAAAAAAAAAAAATCTAGCTGCAGGTGAGGTAAAATATTCAAGCTTTGTAACATTTCTCCCCTGAAATCATTAGAAAAGCAGCTATATTATTTTCTAGGCATTCTTAAGTGACTAATGCTAAGTCAATCATAAAAAAATACTCCTTCTTTGGTCTTTATTAATTCACAGATATTTTCAAAAACTGTGCTTAATCCTAGTATTTGGGGACTACAAAGTCACAACAGCTCTACTTTTGACCACACTACTATTCCATGAAGCATGCACCCAAGTGCAATAATGCACACATAGTCCTTCTGACTTTGGCCTCTGCCACTCTCCAGCATTCCCTGATGAACGTAAGAGCATACAACAAGAATTTAGCAAGTTACAAACTGGTCCTTGCAAAGGTAACCTAACCTTGCAAAGGTAACCTTACCTTGCAAAGGTAGCCTAACCTTGCAAAGGTAAACCCAGATACTCGTGGAGAAGGAGTATGTTTATCATAATTCATTCGAACTACTACTGCTTGAAGAAAATTGCAGACAGCATGGCTGTCAACCACAGTTCATGTTGGAAAATCCCAGTATCACATTTTAAATAGTATTTTCCAGTTTATTCTACCTCAACCCCTTCTCACTGCATTCTGTGGATCTTAAAATCCCTTGAGAACTCATGTCACAAGTCCCAGCTAGCAAACGGATGCTGCTGGGTACATTCCTACCTCTGCTCTCGGTCCCAGCCCCACGGTAAGGAGGGCACAAGCAGCATCCCCGAGTCCACAAAAAACTGAGATCCCTGCATACCCTTTCCATTTCAACCTAGAGAATCCTCAAGTAGACTAGCACAGGGCCCATCAGGGGAAACTGGGGGAGACCGTCATATCTGTGCTTGAGCAGCCCCACCAGCTCCCAGAGGTGAGGGGAGGAGTAGGGACTGACCTTCAGTCACCATGCTGGGAGCCCTATACCATCCTGCCTGCTGGAGGAACGAGGAGCCAGTAGTAAGTTTATTACAGGCGTTAATAATCAAGTCATCTTTGCTAGGCTGGACTTCTGCCTGCCAGATTTAAATGCTACCCATCACAGGAGCTGTCCAGGGCTCCTGGAGGAGGGGAAGGTCGCGCACCCAGGTTTCCGCACCAGCACCTTACCTTGACGAAGAGAGAGATGTCGTGTTCCTGTTTCTCCTCATCCTCCTCTTCCTCCTCCAGGGCGGCAGGCGAACCTCTCTCGTTCTCGTCCTCCGCCCGGCCGTTAAGGCTCCGACCTGCCGCGTCCCACTCGCGGCCCTCAGGGCCCGGGGACCCGCTGCGCTGCTCCGCCGCTCCCCCGGCCCCTGCGGCCTCGCTCGCCTCTTCCGCCACCGCCGGGGCACCGGCTCCCTGCTCCGCCACCGCTGTCTCCACTCCGTCCTCGCGGGCAGGGCCGACCGACGACCGGCGCCCGCCGTCGGCCTCTCCTCCGGCCGGCAACGCCACCTCTGCTTCCTCACCGCTACTGGGAGCCACCTCGCTCCCCGCCGGAGCCACCGCCTCCTCGGCTGCCATCAGGGCTGCCTCCTGCACGGCATCTTCGAGGTCTTTCCCAGCCGGTGCTGTCCCTGCAGGCTCCTCCGGGTCTGTCCCAGCGGGGGCTGCCTCCCGCACCGCCTCTTCGGGATTTGTCCCCGCCGGATCTATCCCCGCAGGCTTCTCGGGGTCTGTCCCCGCCGGAGCTTCCTCCCTCACCTCCTTCTCGGAGTCTGGCCCCGCCGCCTCTTCGGGGTTTGTCTCCGCCGGGTCTTTTGCCATAGTCTCCTCAAAGTCTGTCCCCGACGGGGCTTCTTCTCTCACTGCCTCCTCAGGGTCTGGCCCCGCCGCCTCTTCGGGGTTTGTCTCCGCCGGGTCTTTTGCCATCGTATCCTCGAAGTCTGTCCCCGACGGGGCTTCTTCTCTCACTGCCTCTTCAGGGTCTGTCCTTACCGGGACTGTCCCCATCTCCTCCTCGAGGTCTGGCCCCGCCGGGGCTGCCTCAACCTCCCCGGGCTCCGTCCCCGCCGGGGCCGTGGCCGCGTCCTCGGGCTCCGTTCCCGCCGAGGCTGCCTCTTCGGGCTCTGTCCCTGCTGCGGCTGTCCCCTCGGGCTCCGTACCTTCCGGGGCTGCCTCCTCAGGCTCAGTGTTCACCGGGGACACAGCCGCGCCCTCGAGTTCCACCCTTGCCGCCGTGGAGACGTCTACCTCCGCGGCCTCCTCCACCGGCTCCCCTCCCGGCAGACCCTCGCCCCCCAGGCTTTCCCCATCGGGAACTCGCTGCTCAGCCCCCGCCGGAGGCCGCTGCTCCGCACCCGGCCGGCCTGACCTCTCCGCCGCCCCGTCGGGGAATCCGCTCCCCGTCCCGGCGCTGCCGCCCGGGGCCACCTCCGCCTCGGCGGCCTCCTGCCTAGCCATCGCCACCCCGCTCAGCCGCGGCGCCTCGCAGTGGAGGGACCCGTCCGGGGACTCCGCCGTCTCCTCTGTGGACACCCCTGGCTGCGGCTCCCCGGCGGCCGCTTCCTCATCGCCTCCTTCCCGAGGGACACCGCTTCCCTCCGGCGGCAGGGAGCCGGGCCGTCCCGGGCTCTCCGCCATGCCGGCCTCTCCACCGGCCGCTGCCCGAAAGAGCAGCAACACGGGCGCGTCCGGCTGCCGGAACAAACGGGAACGAAAGGGAAGCCGCGGATCAGCACCGGGCACCGACGTGGGGGACGGCGGCGCTTGCGCAGGGCCAGCCCCGGGCCCGCTGCGAGTGGGGAGGGGGAGGAGGGGAGCAGCCACAGGTGCGTGCGCTCCTCCCCCTGCAGCGCCTTTCCCGCACAGGACAAGGCCAGCACGTCCCTCGCCCCCCGCCCCACACTTCGCCGCGGCAAAGCTCCTCTCCACTGATTTCGGCTATAGCTGGCTCGGGAAGAGGGGCGAGAGCCTAACCGTGACCGCGACCTCGGTGGCACCAAGCGCCGCCAGCCTTCTCTCCTCTAGGCCATCTCTTGCCTACCTGCCGGCTGCTTGCAGGTGCTCGGCGGGACTGGAGCCTTTTCAAAGAGTGCCCCAAAACCTGTCCCTTCCTAGCAGCCCCACCGGGTCTGGACATGCCTGCTAAGCACCTGCTGCCGTCCTGTGCTTCGCCTCCCCCACCCCCCAAAAGCCCCCCCAACTCTATTTCTGCCCTTGCTTTTCCCCTTCGCTGCTTTTCACAGCCACAGGCACAACGTCACTTGCAGCCCCCCAGACGCCCTGCTGCTCTCCCCAGCCAAAAGCCTTGTGGTGCTGGCAGGTGGGACAGACAGCTACCCAGGGGCTGAGGGCTTGCTGGCCATCAGAACAAGGCGTGGTTGCCATTCCTCAAACCCAGGTTTACAAAGGGAACCACTAATCCCCCTGCTGCTGCTGATGCACTGAAACTGGCAGAGCCCCGACAGTTTTGCAAGGGTTTCTTAAAAATACAGATGAACCAATACCTCATCTCTGCAGGTACTCAGTATCTGAAGCGTATTCCCAGGCCTCTTCAGGCTGCACCAAACATTGTGAAGAAAGAAAAATATCCTGATCGGCTTGCAAAAGTTGTAAGAGGAAACTTCCAAACTCTGTGCAAAAAAAAAAAAACAAAACACCTAGATTTGCATACTTTTAAGTAGCTTTTCTTCATATGTGACCAAGTGAGTTCACTATGTGCCTCTGTGAGTTTGCATTTAAATGTGATGAGAAATAGCATGTTCTGTGCAGAGAGGGTAGCTGGTGTGAAAGAAGCGCTAACTTCTAGCTTGGGTAAGGCAGCTTCAGGTTTATCCCACAGGCCTTCTGTTCCACACATCACACTTCTGGTAATTTCTCTGGCTTCTGGAGGCCCTTTACAGAAATAAGGACAATCAGCAGGTTCTGGTGTGAGGATAAGCTGCGGTAGATTTGCTTGTAAGAAAGAAGACATTTTCTGGGAGATACAGCCAGCTCTAGTCCCACTCTTCTCAGAAGTGATTTACGAGAAAGCATTACTTAAGCTATTGGAATGGAAAATAGTTTTCTAGGTGCAGAGACAACAGTGGATGCAAAGTTAGCTGAGAGGAGTTAGGTATCATATTTAAAAAACATGCAGTTAAACAGTTTTATGTATATGTATGTAAACCCACATTTTTATGTCTGAGAGTGGAAGGAGCAGAGACAGACTGAACACACGGGTTTGGAATGGGTGGGAAGGGAGAACACACAGCCAACAGGAGATGGGAAATACTATAAAATAAATCATTCCATCAATACCTGTTCTGAGAAAAATAAATAGACAATAATACAATAAACAATCCTGAAGCTAGTTTTCATCGAACTTATGCTTGCCCAGGGGTGCACTGCCAGTGAGACAAAAGAACAGGAGCAGTTGTGTTCAAAAGAGATGCGTCTTGAAGATTTAGGAATGGAGGCTTAGCATCTGGCAATGGAGGTATTGCAGCTGGACCCATTGTAAGGCAATTATTTCACTTGTCTTTTATGGGTTCTGATATTAGTAGAATGACACATCTCAGTCACCTTATTTATACATAGAAAATATTCGTTTACTTGTCCTAACCCTTGCTGAAGGGTTCTAATTGCAGAGCTTATTCATTAACATCAGTATCCTATTTTTCTTTGTCTATTTCCTGCTCTGTAGCTCATAGTAGGAAACAAGGTGAGGATTTCAAGGCCTGCAAAAAACCTTTCAGTGATAAACACTGCCTCATAGTTAACACTGGGCAATGTTCAAGTGTAGCAAAAGATTAGCTCTTTAAATACTCATGGAAGTCTGACAAAGGAGGACCAGAAAAGGATCAGCAGCTGTCAACAACACCTTGACAGACAAGGTGTTGTTATCTTTGTAGGACAGAGAAAAGTTTAAGGTATAGTGCTTGATACAATTACCATTTTTCTGCAGTAATGATTGCTAGTTTGTAACAGATCTTGCTGTGTTTTTCCTCAAGAATAGGAACAGACATTTTTGAATTCTGCTGGAGTTGACACCTAGCAGTGACACGTGCAAGCACTGGGTTAATGTCACTGATCTATCAGGTCAGTTTGCTGGTCCCCGTGCAAGCAAGACAAAGTAGGAAGTCTGAGAGGCAAGGACAAGGTAAAGGGTGGTGTAGGCGCAGTTCAGAGGAGAGCTGACCAGTCAGCTTGACATTGCTCACCCTTCAGTATTGTGGTTTCACAAAGGCAGTTTTGAAAATGCACCATTAAAACTGGATCTGTCTCAGTGAAATCCCAGAGCTTTGGATATCTGTTGTTTTGTGCTCACTGCATTCAGCACTCTCCCCCTCTATCTCACTTACTTAACAATTAATCTCTCCAGGTTCACACTCCTCCCATACACTACCTTCAAGCTCTTTACACCCCATCTGTTTCTAAAATAGGTCCTTAGCTAATAAATACTATTTTCTCAGTTCGGCTTCAGGAAGGATTACGGCAAAACTTCTTAATTTAAAAGATGAGTGCAGGTAATTAAATATCACAGATGTTAGACATTAGTGGACAACATGAAGATCCCTTTACAGTCTGTTAGTGAACAAGTTATATCCCTGGGGGAATATCTCAATTAGGCTGTACTTGCTTGGATTATTGTACCTTCTTTTCCTTTCCTGGTTTACAGGGAGTTGCAGAGAAACGTTGTAGTTTTTGCAGCCTGAGGTAAGGAAAAAATGCCTATGGAATTACAAGGGTCTCAGCGAAGCCCTCTCCACCAGCCTGCCTAACTCCTGGGACAGGTCAGTCTCACTGCAAAGGGAGCAGACTAGGGTATTTGTTCATGCCTCTGAGAATCCAGTTCACAGTCCTGTGCTGTGCCAAACACACATATGCCAAATATATAATGCTTTGCCCTAAAAAAACTGGAGTTACGGACTCAGCAAGGCTTTTTTTTTGCCTCCCTGTGCAGGCCACTGACTCCCACAGAAGCTTGCTCTGCCTGTTCCTTGGTGCCTGCTCTTATTGAAGTTGTGCTATTTCATCAAGCATATGCATCTGCTCTTCTAGAGTTTGCTGCATTTCAGAAGTGAAGCTACATATTCCCAGGCCAAAAGCTGCCTGCACACCATTTGAATTCTGCTTGTTTCTGCCAGATGCTGACTAACTACTATTTCGCATTGAAGCCAGAGCGAAATAGGGGTGAGCAGAGCTTCCAGAAATCAGGGGGTATTTAACTGAGTTCCCCACCATGGGATGGAGGGAGGGATTCATCAGAGTAAACATAGACAGGTACAAACTTCATGTCTGCAAACCCTGAGGCCAAAGAGAGAGATCTAGTGAGCCGAGTAAATGAAATGATTCTTCTCATCCCAAGGTAGATGTCTAAAGCAGACCAGATGGTCCTTGACAGAAAAGTGCCTATTTCTCTACACTGACTGTACAAAGACCTGAGGGTGATTGGCTCAGAGGGGTGATGTCTGTGCTAAACACATCTAAACTCATATGAGAAGAATTCTATCCCAGGTGATTCCCTTACAGACTGAAACTTGAAAATGGACAGCCAGCAAAACATGGGCCAAAGCCTGATTACTTTTTTCTGCATTATTGTTATTGCAGCTGGTGGTTTAACTGGAATTTCCACAAATTACTTGTGGTATAAAACATTATTCCCTATCAGAATACAACTGCCTAGCCCAAAACTATATTAACATTTGTATGTAAGCCAGTTCTGTATTCTTCTATTTAAAATGTTGTTTCAACTATGGAAAAGACAAAATTACAAGTGAAAAATATAGTATTGGAGAACTATAATTTTTAGTGCTTCCAAACTACATGTACGTTTGCTATGTTAGTCTCTGGTTTCTCAAACTTGTGTCAAGAAATCGCTGTGGCATTCTGTTGCTTCATGGTCAAAAGGGTGTTTAGTCTAGCCAAACAAATTAAAAGGGAGAGATGCCTTGTTGAAAATCACAGCAGCATGCTGCTTGTTGCAGTGGGTGTGTGATGCCATCTGTATTTAGTGTTCTGAGCTTCCCAGCACTAAGCTGATTAGGGGCAATTGGCTCCCTTCCCAGCTGCTTAGAGGCAGTCTGCTTGGGAAGAACCTAGGGATGTACACACGCAAGGTGGGGAAAAACCTGGTGGTGGCCTAGGAAGCGCAGAAAGCCAAGCCACCTGTAACCAAGGTTGAAAAAGCAGAGAGAGCAGATGCATCTTCTTGCCAGATACTACCAGTCCCTCTCTTCCTGCAGTTTGTTACTCAGTTCCCTGAATTCCTGGCGCCTCACAAAGCCACAGGCACCAAAGCAGCCTGTACTTAAATTCTGAATAAAACATACTGAAGTATGTTGGAAAAATAGAAGAATATCAATAATAAAGCTTTCAGGGAAAAAAAAAATAAAGAAAAGGTACTGCTAACTATTTTAGGTACTTAAAATCTGTTCATTCTCTCATTTTCCAAAAGAATCTTTGACTTTCCTATTCTTGTATTTCACTTTTATTTTTGCTAGTAATACTATTTTAATGAAGCAATTATGTCCTCCATCTGCGGCAGGAAAGATAACAAACAGACGTTATATGTAGTTTTTTTTATTGTCAACTATCATCTCTAATTCAATAAAATAGTGGTTTGGAATTAACTTTAGAAGTGCCCCAGAAGCATCAAGGTCCTAGAAAGTATGATGACTGTCCTGGAGCCTTGTATTATCTTGCTTGCTAGCTAAAAAAGGCCAGCATGGCACTC